ATTAAGGGACCGACGCCACGATGCCCCAAGCTGGAGCCAGCTGACCTCATTCACGCAGCAGGGACAGAAACGGACATATATAGCGCATGTATCAAACAGACACACATACCCGAGCAGTGACTCCACAGCTCATTACTGCACTGTCGTTAAATTGCCAACCCGAAGCCACTTATTGTGCCGCGATATCTCAAATTTTCACGGTTAGGCTTAGCCGGAGCGTCCCTAACCCTGACCCACCGTGGCACGCTTCACCTACCTCTCCGCTCGTTAATCCAGCAAGCAGACGGGGCCAGAGACACAGACATCGCTGCCAGTGCACTGGCCCCCCAAGCGATTAAAGCAACGTAAGTGTCCTGAGAGTCAGGCCTGGAAGAAAGCCAAGGACACATTTAGAAGCAAACTTCCACCCTCTGGTGGCCTTTTACAGCGCTAATGTTTGGACTGTGGTGGGATCACATATGTCCATACTTGTAAAAACGCACCAGGCCTTAGGATCCATGACAGCTAATGCTGTTTTAAATAACAGTCAGGCTCGAATCCGACTTCATTTTCCTTATTGAAAGGCTGAGCCAAACGGACGCAGCAAGGCCGCGGTGGACGGGGACGGCGTGCGCGAGGCGGCTGGCCGCGCTGAGCTGCTGTGGGCTGCACGCTCCTCTGTACGCTGTCCAAGCTGTTGCTCTGCCAAGCAGCGTGTGAAACGCAGCCAAAGCAAACAGCGGCAGCCGGCCAGAGCGACGCTGCCGCCCCACTAATGGAGGGGCTTCCAGACCCGACGCGGCGTAATGGCTTAATGAGAGCAGGACGGAGTCCCCGCAGCAACGGCGGCAGCGTCAGGGACACGACTGTGCGGCCCAGCGCCGTGAGGGAATCGGCCACCACAGATCAGTCCCATATCTCACTTCTGCTCCCCATCCTGGACATCTCTGCTTTTAAGGCAGAAACCAAACAAACTCTTATAATGACAATGCATGTCACAGTGCCAAATGGATGAAGACTGGCTTTCTCTCCCCGTCTGGCAAACAAAACGACGAGGGCTAATGATTCTGAAATGGTGCTTTAATCCCATAAATGCACCAACAGCGACTTGGTCCCAACAGGAGCACGAATCAGCTCTGGTTTTTTTGGCTAAATCATTAGTGAGCAAACATACAAAGGCCCAGCGCAGGCTTTGTCTTCAACAACAGGCTTATGAATGGTGTCGACACATTGGCTATCTGACAGCAGCGTGGGGCAGCAGTGTCAGTAGGCGGTGGATGGGAGGGGGCACACTGGGATTCTGCCCCAGCGTTCGGGAGGGGGCACACTGGGATTCTGCCCCAGCGTTCGGGAGGGGGCACACTGGGATTCTGATCCAGCGTTCGGGAGGGGGCACACTAGGATTCTGCCCCAGCGTTCAGGAGGGGGCACACTGGGATTCTGCTCCAGTGTTCGGGAGGGGGCACACTGAGATTCTGCCCCAGCGTTCGGGAGGGGGCACACTGGGATTCTGCCCCAGCGTTCGGGAGGGGGCACACTGGGATTCTGCTCCAGCGTTCGGGAGGGGGCACACTGGGATTCTGCCCCAGCGTTCGGGAGGGGGCACACTGGGATTCTGCGCCAGCGTTCAGGAGAGGGCACACTGGGATTCTGCCCCAGCGTTCGGGAGGGGGCACACTGGGATTCTGCGCCAGCGTTCAGGAGGGGGCTCACTGGTATTCTGCCCCAGCGCTCGGGAGGGGGCACACTGGGATTCTGCCCCAGCGTTCAGGAGGGGGCACACTGGGATTCTGCGCCAGCGTTCAGGAGGGGGCACACTGGGATTCTGCGCCAGCGTTCAGGAGGGGGCATATTGGGTCTCAGCATGTGTATGGGGGGGGGGGGGTGGAGGAAAGATATACAAAGTTCTCGGTTTGGTACAAACTTCGGGTTTAAGTCGATAATTCGGTGCAATTTCGATAGAGCAGGGAAAACTGAATTGTTTTCTGAATTGTTTATTAAAACTGCAAACACAATTAGAAATAGTTGTAAACCAAACAAAAGGAATTATGTCTGAATAACAGAACCTAACAGTTTCCTATTTGCACATTGTGAAAATATGTGAAATACATAAAAATGAAAAAATAAGACAATCATAATGAGCTATACCTCATCTAAATCCCGTTCTCGCTACCACAGAGCATGATTTTATGCCCATAGCAACAAATATCCCTATAATCGGGGTTCTCAAACTTTTCCATCAAAGGTCTGCATCACATTTATGTGTAAAGTCAGAGGACAATTTTCAATGACAAAACAGCATTTCATGAAATAATGAACAATAACATTTGATATAGACATCAATATATACCAATACTGGGAATGCTTCGACTCTCTCGTGGGGTGGGGGGGGTTATGACGAGTTATGTGTATGTGAAGTTTGGTGGTTCTGCATTATATTTCTGTACTTCAAATCATGTTAAGCCTTTTTATGTTATCCATTTTGATTCATAAGATGAATTTTTGGCTGGGTCCGGATTAACTTGTGGTTTGAACCCGTGCCCGTTAGCCTTAGTTATTTTGTAGCCTGGTCTGAATTTCCTGGCAAAGGTGCCTGAATTGCCATATCCGAGTTTGGTATAACAGTTTTATCAGCTACTCCAGTGTTGGTGTGATGTATTGGCGAACCGAAATGTTCCAAACTGCTGATTACGACTGACTGTAATCAGCATTAGCTGTAAGCAGCTCACAGCCACGATTAGCATAATGTTTTCCATGTTGAACATCTACTTGTGAATTTAGGTTTCGCCTTTGTCGATAAATGTATTCATTTGTGTCATCGGTGTGCCAAACCGAAAATGATGCAACAACATGTGAGAGATGGAGGATAAAAACACCCCCTGTTTCATATTGGGTCTTCTGTGCAAACACACGTCTGGCCCCCTTTGGCGTGTGCGGTTGGATTTCAAGCACTCAGTTCACCATCAGCCATACATCCTGCCTTTCTGGAAACTTAAGATGCTTATGAATAGGTCTCTCAACCACAAATTACTATGTGTCCTAAAAGGTTCGAGGGATGCTGCCCCACACAGTGCAGTATTTTTCGGATGAACGCATGTCAGTATCATTAGGAGGCTGTAAATAACACAGCAGGTCCAATCGGGCCCACTGCACCAATCAGATCCAATCTGGTCCACTGCATTAGTGAGGCCTAGTTTGGTCTACAGCATTAGTAATGTCCAGTTTGGTCCACTGGAGCAGTGGGGTCTGGTCTGGTCCAGAGTGGTCCAGTGGAGCAGTGTGGTGTGATCTGGTGCAGAAGAGAACTGAGGTCTTGTCTGGTCTAGTCCAGGGGAGCAGTGAGGTCTGATCTGGTCTGATTCAATAGAACTGTGAGGTCTGTTATGATCCACTGGAGCAGTGAGGTCTGGTCCATAACATTGGTAATATCTGGTCCAGCACACTGGAGGAGTGAAGTCTGGTTCAGTGTAGCAGTAACGTCTGTTATGCTGCACTGGAGCAGTGAGGTCTGGTCCAGTGCACTGGAGTGGAGGAGTGAGGTCTATTCTGGTTCAGCGGAGCAGTAACGTCTGTTATGCTGCACTGGCGCAGTGAGGTCTGGTCCAGTACACTGGAGGAGGTAGACCCTGTTCTGGTCCAGTTGACAGCAGCAGTAAAGGACACTGGAAGCTTTAGGTTTTGTTCCCTCTCCTGGCCCGTTTTCATATGGAAATGCAGAATAATGGGGTGATTAAATAGAGCTGTATATTAAAGCACAGCTGACATTAGAATTAGCATAATGTGCTCTAGCCTCAGGCTGCATACTTTATTTGCCATCTGCGTTGGACTCCTGTCCCACTGGGAGGCCCTGTGCTGAGCGCAGGCGCATGGCCGTTTCCTCCGTCTATGGAAGGGAGTGCATCGCTCTTAATTGTGGGGCACAAACAAACACTGTCCCCCCCCCCCCCCCCCCCCAGACTTCTGACAGCCTGTGGGAAGTTGAGCCAGTTCAACAGGCACAAGTCTGACGGCCGCAAGAGGCGGGGGACCCGTGAGATTCTGTGTGGCTGCTTGTGCCCAAGAATGAGCAGCAGGGTGTGTTTGTTTGGGGGGGGGGGGGCAGATCTAGCAGTAATCAGGCTGACATGAGGAGCTGCTTTTCCAAAAGACTGTGCCGCTGACCTAAAATGGACCAAAGGAGGGTTAATCAAGGCCCCCCAGCACGGGCTCACGGGCCAGACACACAAAACGGCCGTTGGGACCCCCTGCACCCTCGAGATCCCAGCGTGGAGACACATTCAACGCTCAAACAATTAGCACAGCACATGTTAGCGTTAGGTCAGAGCAGAGAGCTTCCATTTAATACAAGGGGAAATGATTCGCAGGCGTACACACTGCAGCACTCGGTTCTGTAACCCTTTGAAGCGGGGAGGCCCAGGCTGCTTGTCCGTGGGGCCCTAACAAGCCCCCTTTGCATTGCCGCGCGATTTCACACCACGCCTTGCCCACCCGGCAGTTAACCGCCGCCGCTCGCCGACGACGCGGTAAACGGTGAATCACACTCTGTGCTCCTGTTCCTATCCTCCATCTGTCCGCCGCATTCTGTAAGTGAGCATGTGCCCGTAATTATCCTGAACGAGTCAAACATAACAACATATCAGAGGGAAGAGGAGATGTCAGCGTGCGCTTCTCCTCCGCTCCGGCCGCTGGCGTCACGGCGATGCGCTAAAAAGCTAACGCAGGGTAGCGGAGAGCAGCCCTGCAGCCATGTCTCAGAGTGACACAGTGAGACAGAGCGGAGCACTGGGGAGCACTGCAACAAAACAAAACAAAGCAGTACACAGAGAGCGCAAAACAGCACACATCACAGAAATACTGCGAATCGTAAGACAACGCAGCAACGTCCTCGCACATAATCATACAAACAATAGCCGCACTAGGTATGCAAATACATATAATAGTTTGAACATATACACAGGGTGGCCCTGTAGGTATACAGTTCTTATTTTACAGTGCTGATTGGGTTGATACATTCCTGCAGCCTGTCCCTGACACTGGGACACGCTTTACCACAGAAATACACACAGCTAGCATCGATGTCCATAAATGCTTGTGCGATTGAACTCCTCCAGTTCATCCACTGCGTGGGGCTTCCTCTCAAAAACCTAAGAGACTAAACATGACCCAGTAAGTACTGTAAACTAAGAACTGTACCTGATTTTAAAAACAACTTTGTGAAATGAATGTACTTGTAAAAGAAAAAGAAAAATGCATACTTACTTTTGGCCCAGATACACATGCTCACACACACACACACACACACACACACACACATATATATATATAAAATGAAATTGTACTGCATCTGAATCAGTATATAGTGCCCCAAACTCTCCGATTACAGATTAAAGTGCCAGTTTTATTGTACCACATAGGGTCATATTATGAGCTCTTCTTACCATCCAAACCCTCCCTGTGAAATCCCCACTGCACTGTCACTGTCCTGCAGTGGCTTTCACACCTACGGGCCGCTTTAAATACCTGAACCTGAAGAGATTCCGTAACAGCTGCACCTCACTGTCGCATTTTTTCACTCTTCATTATCGACCATTTATCTCCTGTGTTAAGCACCGTTCACTGTAGCACTGGGCGATATGGACCAAAAACCATATCTCGGGTATTTTTAGGCGACATGATATATATCTCGGTATTTTCTATGAAGTGGGCTAAATATTCAGTTGTAAGTCAAAGCCACATATGAGATGTCACACACATTTTTACTAAAACAGTACGGTCGAAACAAGATGCAAATGCAGGATTTGCATCCCTTTTTGCAAATATACTCTTAGCATAGAGACTGCAAAAATAAATTATGCCTATATGTGTGTTGCATAGGTCAAATATAGCAGCTACAACATAAAAGCGTTTCACTTCAGTGTCCAACAACAGACCTTTTTTCTCAGTTTATGACTCTCAAACAGAAGGCGCGTGTTTATGAACAACAACAAAAAGCTATTTAAACCTAAAACCTTTTTGCCAAATGGCTCTAAAGCAGAAGCTAAACAGCCATTGAAACTGCACTTAATAAATGGAAAGATCCTCGTTTTAAGATAATAGTCTTCAATAGAATAAAGCAAATATTGGAAATTGCGATTATTTTTAACCTTAGAGCTGTCTGGCAATTTCTAAAACAGAATGAACCAAGTTACAATGCCCATCAGTTTGCCTGCGAGAAGCTAACTGAATGTTTTGATTTTAGCTGTGAATTCGGTGATTCTGTGCAATGTCATGACTGAAGCTGTCACAGTGCTTACATCCAGGAAGGAATACTATACATTTCTATTAAAAATAATGCACATACTATTTCCCCATATGAGTATCAAAATGCCAGATGCATTAACACAAAGAAATAATGCATCACAACCTTACCAGGAACGCTGACACATTAAGTGTGACAGGTCTAATTTTAACACACAATAACATACGTTTATATCAATATAAATGCCATTGTCTCATCTTACATCTCGCTTGAAAATGTATTGATATGCGAATATACTGCCTGGCTCCAGTTTGTTGTATTATTGGTTGTTTATGAGAGGCGAATTCCTTTATTTGTAACTGATAACAATGTGCTCTATCTGGAACGGAGCTGTACTTTTTCAGTACAGAAACACATTATAAAGTTTATAGTTTGACTGAGTGCTTTGGATTCCACAGAGATTCTGTGGGAGATTCTGCAGTGACTACCCAGTGATTCTGTGTTAGTGCTACAGAAAGTCCCATGTGATCCTTTTAGGATTGTGCTGTGAATCTGCAGTGATTTCATAGTTATTCTGGAGTGATTCCTCAGTGATTCTGCAACAATTCCCAGGTGATTCTGCAGTAATTCCACAACAAAACATAATTTATGATTTAAATAGTCTTGATTGTTTCGCACGACACCCTGAAGTAAATTCCTTGTACGTAAAAGTACTTGGTGACAAAGAAATGATTCCAGTTCCAATTCCGTTTCGGATAATTATTCCACTTATATCCCCCCTTATATCACCTTCCAAAGCAACTAGATTTTCAAATCGTTGTCATTATACTGGTGGCAGGATTCTTTGATGTCACATGCTTCTCTGACAGCTCACTTTCCCATGGGTCTGTGTGCCTGCAGGTAGGGATGAGCCGTCCAGCTACACCTGCACCACCTGTAAACAGGCCTTCCTCAGCGCCTGGTTCCTGCTGCAGCACGCCCAGAACACGCACGGCCTACGCATCTACCTGGAAGGTGGCCCCACCGGCAACGCCCTCACGCCCCGCATCACCCTGCCCCCGGCCGTGGGAGCCGAGTCGCTGCCGCAGCCCCCCCTCACTGGCTTCCTGGGGGAGGGGAGCCCCTTCCATCTGCTGCGCATGGCTGCACCGCTCCTACGTGAGCCACCAGGCTTTGTGGAGAACCGCCTGCCCGGCACGCCCCCCTTCGTGAGCCCCCCTCCTCGGCACCACCTGGACCCGCACCGCCTGGAGCGCCTCAGTGCCGAGGAGATGGGCCTGATCTCCCAGCACCCCAGTGCCTTCGAGAGGGTGATGCGTCTGACACCCATGGCAATGGAGTCCCAGTCCATGGACTTCTCTCGCCGGCTCAGAGAACTGGCGGGAAACAACAACTCAAGTCCGCCGCTGTCACCGAGTCGCACAAACCCTATGCATCGCCTACTCAACCCCAACCCCTTCCAAGCGAGCCCTAAGTCGCCCTTTTTGAGCACCCCTCCTCTGCCGCCCATGCCCCCCGGGAGCAGCACCCCGCCGCAGGCACAGGGTAAGTCCAAGTCCTGCGAGTTCTGTGGCAAGACCTTCAAGTTCCAGAGTAATCTGGTGGTGCACCGACGGAGCCACACGGGGGAGAAGCCCTACAAATGCCAGCTCTGCGACCACGCCTGCTCTCAGGCCAGCAAGCTGAAGCGGCACATGAAAACGCACATGCACAAGGCCGGCTCGGTGACCGGCCGCTCCGACGACGGCCTGTCTGCCACCAGCTCCCCGGAGCCGGGGACCAGTGATGTCACAGGCGAGGCTGTAAAAAACAGGGAAGGTGACTTCAGAGGGGAGGGCATCGGCCCAGACAATGAGGAGGAGGAGGAGGAGGAGGAAGAGGAGGAGGAGGAGCTGGAAAATGAGAGCAGGCCGGAGTCAAGCTTCAGCTTGGACTCTGACTTCTGCCGCCCGCGGGAGAACGGTGCCAAGCCGCCGGCACTCTCCATCGATAAGATGGTGGAAAACGCGTCCCTCAACACTCTGCAACAATACGGGAACCTGATCGTCGACAACCGGAAAAGGCTGCCCTTCTCCACCAGGGGCCACGAGGGCCCACGGGAGAACAGGGGCAGGCACTCTGAGAGGGGGGAGCTCGAGCCAGTGGAAAGGACCGCCGTGAACGGCAGGAACTGTGGCTCGGGGGACTCTCTCCCTAGCCTATTTCCACGCAAGCCCACACCCATCACCAGTCCCAGCCTGTCCAACTCATCCGCCAAGAGGATCAAGATCGAGAAGGACCTGGACATGCCTACGGCACCACTCATTCCCTCGGAGAACGTCTATTCACAGTGGCTGGTGGGCTATGCCGCCTCGCGCCATTTCATCAAAGACCCCTTCCTGGGATTCAGCGATTCCAGGCAGTCGCCCTTTGCCACCTCTTCGGAGCACTCCTCGGAGAACGGCAGCCTGGCCTTCTCCACACCTCCGGGGGACCTGCTGGATGGCACGCCGAGCGGGGGAAGCACACCCCACCTCGGCGGGCCCGGCCCGGGCCGGCCCAGCTCCAAGGAAAGCCGTCGCAGCGACACATGCGAGTACTGCGGCAAGGTGTTCAAGAACTGCAGCAACCTAACGGTGCACCGGCGCAGCCACACCGGCGAGCGGCCCTACAAATGCGAGCTGTGCAGCTACGCCTGCGCCCAGAGCAGCAAGCTGACGCGGCACATGAAGACGCACGGCCAGCTGGGTAAGGAGGTGTACCGCTGCGACATCTGCCACATGCCCTTCAGTGTGTACAGCACCCTGGAGAAGCACATGAAGAAGTGGCACGGGGATCACCTGATGACGAACGAGGTGAAAATCGAGCAGGCAGAGAGGACCTAACGCACGAGCCAAGGGCACGGCTAGACGCCGCCTCACAGATACTCATGCTGTAGTTTAACGTGACGCCTAAGAAGCTGCCAACTGAGAGAAAAAAAAAGAAAACAGGAAATGAGAATTAATGCTGGTCTAATCTGCCTTGTCTGGCTTTTGTTTCAGCAATCTATCAGAGTGTGAATTAGCAGTAATGAATAAGAAATTCGTCATGCCTTCTAACTGTGCAATAAGTTCTCTATTTATTGGGTTTGTTATTTTGGCCTCTGCAGATATATATATTTTTTTTTATTTCATTTGTGTTTTCTTTTTAACTGTAATTGCTGGGAGTTTTGCTGTTTAAACCCAGACGATGTCCTGAGATTTTAGCGAAAACAACACAGTTGTTTTTAGCCAACCTTTTAGCCGCTGCTTATCAAAAAACCTGCATATTTTAAAACTACACGTGTCACTTCTGGAGGAAAAGCCAGATCTAACGACGAGCTGTAGCCGTGAGAATGCCGGCGTGTTCATGAGAGCACACACTGACTGTAAACATATCAGGTCTAACTGGGAACGTACCACTGAACATCAGCTTTGGGCGGGGCGGGGCGGGGGCGGGGGGGGGGGGGGGGGGGGAATCTGGAGGTTTGTCGATCTTCTCTTCTTTAGAACGGGATGAACACCAAGGCAGCTGCTCTGAGGTACCAGGTACCGAGCCAAGCGGGCCGACCAAGGAGAATCCGGGCGCACACGCTTAACCCACGCTAACACTGCCATTGGGAGCCGTGAGGCAGCATTCAGGATGACCCGTTTATAAGCGTGTGTATAATCTCAGGATAAAGAGCCCAGCGGCTCACTGGGTGACTCCTCACCCGCCCATGGGCCACATCTCCATCGCGAATACAGCTCATGGAGTGACAATCCACTCCAGAGCATTTCTGTTTCTGAAGCCTTTTCCAGAGGGAGGGAACTTGTTCCTTCCACCTGGAAACGCCGGTGGGGGTGTAGCTGCCAGCTGGAACGGCCGTGAATGATGAGTGAATGATTCTAAACCTTTCCCCTGTTTTGCTTGTAGCACCCAAATTTTAAACTCTAATGACTTCATGTCATACTTGGCAAGGATCCATTTTCTGAGACGGGTTCTGCGTTTAGCCCCCATGAGCTACCCCAACTTTTCAAGCAGATGTTTCGGGCATCAAATACTGAAATGAAATCAGCGAGTCTCGTTACGCTGAGAAATCATGCCGTAATATTACTTGAATACATTTGCTCTATGCATTCACAGCTTAGCCGGCAGATTAATGTGAAATACAGCCCTAGAGTCTGACAACATTCAGTTCCCCTGCTGACCTGGTAACCTGAACCCAAAGGCCCAGTGCATCACCAAACTGCATTTCCTGTAGAACTGAGTGTGTCTTTCCTGTCCCTTAGGACTTCCACTCATGTGTAGTTGACCATGATAAGAAGTAGCATCTTGTGTGGACTAAACAACTGGCCCTGGCAACCAGCTGGCCCTAGATCAACATCAACCAGGTCACCAACCACCAGCTGACCCTAGATCAACATCTATCAGGTCACCAACCACCAAGTGGCCCCTAGATCAGCATCTACCAGTTCACCGACCACCAGCTGCTCATAGACCACCATCAACTTGTTAACCAACCACCAGCTGTCCCTAGATGACCATCTACCAGTTCACCAACCACCAGCTGTCCCTAGATCACCATCTACCAACTAATTAAATTTATGGTTTGTTTTGGCCAACAGAAATATCTGGAGAAACACAGCGTGTGTTAGGTGGACTGAGTTGGCTTGGCAGCGGGGGCCGTGGGGAGCTGTAGCAGCTGACACAGGTGTGAGAGGACGTGCAGAGGCACAGATCACAGCGCTACCACCATGACTGGACACTTTGTATACTGCCACCAGTTTGACAAGAGCGTGCCTTTAACAATGATCTTCCGATTGATCGTCTCCTGAGACAAACGCAGCACGTCTGTGATGCGAACAAAAGAACAAGCTCTCCTCCATAGCTCTAATCTGCTCGTGAATTTATGGAGCGACGCCCGCAGAACAGCGTGTTCATGTGCACGCAGATGTACATATTAAGGCACGAGCGAGAGGAATTATCGACTTCAGGACAAGACTGCATGCCAACTTCGGAGAGGACTGTTAGACCACAGGTAGTCGCTGAAGAGACTGGACAGGAATCAGGAACAACAGAAAGTAGGGAAAAAAGAAAGAAAAAATGAAAAAAGAAAACAAAAAAGGACAAACTTAGTGCACTCTGTCTCAAAATACGTTTACAGTATTGAAACAAGTACAAGGGTAAATCTTATCTGTGTGTGTTTGTTTTAAATGAGTATTTTTTTCAAGTTTGCTTAAAGGTTTCTCTGAATGCCATAGTGGCCGTGTATATTGTTTTTTTTGGTGATGGGTTTTAGTATATATATAAATATATATAAATCTATATCACATTTCTCTTGTTTACTGTAAAAGTATACCGGTATTTGTAATATTTCAGAATGCCTGGGCATTTTACAAAAAAATTGAAAAAAATTTTAAAGTTTTTTTTTTTCCAGCCCAATTTCAATTGTGGGTCTTATTAAGATGTTTTGTCACTGTAAGTGTAAAAGTCTTGAGTTTTAGTAAAACCTTTATCCTTCCTTGCGTGTAAAAAATGTAAATGAAACGGGACAAATTGCAGAAGCGTTCGAGCCGCTGAAGGGCGACACAGTGCCCCCCCCACGGCAGAGACCACCGCCCCCTCCCGCTCGGCTCCCGTCTTTACTCTGGAATGGCATTCTCTCTGTGTAGACACTCTTTTTACAGGAGCTCGTATTTTTTACCTAGTACACGCATCCCTAGTGAAAGATGGTACTGTAAGTACTATGTGTCATTTTTCTGTTTTTTTGGGGGGTGGGGTGGGGGGTCCTGGTTATTAATTGAGAAAAAAAACGAGTTGAAAATGCATCACAAAGCTGCCACAATATATTTTTTTAATTTGGCAGGATAAAAAAAAGCAAAAAAAGAAAAAAAAAACAATCTGAAGAATTTGTATTCTTAAAATGAGTCATATTGTACAGCAAGGTGTGAAGGTTGTCTGACAACCTTTTAGTTACACAAAAAATACTAAAGTAAATGTTTTGTTTACTAGTATATTGGCTGAAAATATTTTTTACGAGTACCCTGGTGTGACTCAGGCTTGTGTGTGTGTGTGTGTGTGTGTGTGTGCGCGCTGTCTGATACGGGCAGCTTCTCTGACCAGGTCAGCCCTCACTGATGCCTCACCCCTTGGGATAACCCTCCATTCACGCTGGCCAGCATTGCAGATACTACACCTGTACAAGCGATACCAGGACTTTTCCGACACAGCACAAGTCTGCAACGGCAGCCAGGCACCGTGCTGGAAGATGGATGGTTTGGAATAAAACCGCACAAACTGCTATTGCAGTGCTAAACACTCAGAATGGGGAAGACGGCAGTGTGTATCAGGAAAATCTAACTCCGTTTATTCCCAGTTAAGCCAGAAAAAACCGGAAGCGAGGTGCATGCTAGCCGCGACCTGCTGCCTGTCCTCAGTCGGACGTGGAGGCAGGACTGCGGCGTGTGTGTGTCTGTACGTTAGGGTCTCCGGCCCCGGCTCAGGGTGCGAGGAACCTCTGGGCCGCAGGTTCTGAATAAAAATGACTGCTGCTCTTCGCCCTTTACCTCTCTCACCTTGCCGTATTGTAATCTGCACATCTGTATTTGATGATGTGACCGGGCTGGGCTGCACATCCCTCACACTGTTCGGTAGAAACATGAGTGACACTGTACTGCACTACAAAGGCAAAACAGAGTAAGTACAATACTAACACTGAGAAAACAGGCTTCAAAGGTTTTTTACTGTCAACCCGCATGTGTAATATGTAATTAAATGATACTATATTTAGACATTAGACTAGTGATGGAATAGTGATACTTTATTAATCTCTTAATTCTCTTTTTTGCTTTGCCCTGTCTTGCTCTTGAGAGCACGTCGGGGCGGGGGGGGGTGTCACAGTGAAGGGACAGCTTCCTCGCAGCACCCGGGGAGCAGGGGGTTAAGGGCCTAGTTCAACGGCCCATAGTCATGTGACTGTTCTTCGGAGGCTGGGTTCGGAACCTTTATTTTTAAACATATATGCAGTTATGGTGTCTTGCCTTTGTGCTGCATGGCTCCGTGACGCGACCATACAATCAATATTCAGTTACGCGGTAGGAAAACAGCTCATTACAACGACCAGCATGTCTGTTTAGCATTTCTCAGGTGGACTGGGACACCCGGCATCTCAATCATACCATCACTGGTATTTCTAGGGGACTGATGCAAGGTGATCTCTGTCCCAACATAGACGCCGGACTCAGGGTTCCTGCATCAAGCAGAGTCACCAGGACTCACACGCTCACTGGCCCGTAAGGCCTCATATGGGGGAGTGGGGCTTAACGGGGACCAAAAACAGGAAGTTGGCTGTTCTAATACACCTCCAATATTTCCTTATATTTCATTCAACAAAAATATTTCTAAACAGTTTAGTGCACTGATTCCTATTTATTACAAACAGCAACAACAAAAATATTTAGGTTGCATGACTGTCTAACAAAGCAGTCACTTGTTTCTAAAGCACTTTTAATGACCTTCTTTGCAACCACTCTGACTCCAGCATAAACAAACCAGGGAAATTTCCCCTCAAAGCAAGCCTTGGTGGCCTTTATGTGGGAAGTCACAGTTTTGTATATTTTTTTCCTCTTTCAGTTCTGATGTACAAATCTTTCATGCATGAATAATACATATCACAAAATAATAAATAAATTGTGTGCTTTAACAGCTGTACATTAAACCAACCGTGTAAATGGACTTAAAAACTTACAATCTTGTTGAAAAGGGAACGTGAACATGGACATTATTCAGATCTTCTTAAAGAGGCCCCTGCTGAGGTATTTCTACATTGGTGGGGGCAGTGCGGGCTGGGGGAATGCCAACTGCTGCAGCCACTGGCTGGGGGCAGGTTAAAGTAACCAGCTTATCTTTTTACATTTGAATATATTAAAGGTTGTCAGCCTGTATGTCATGATCAAACAGGGCAATGCTTATCCCGCTCCTGTTTTCATGACATCAGTAGATCTGCTATGTGCTTATTAGCTCAAATGCATATCAGTACTTTATCGCAGCCGGAATCTGAGATATCTATTGGGCTAGATTAAAAGGAAGTCCATCCCACATCGCTGCAGCTTCAGCTGTCAGCCCTTATCTACAAGTCGAAACGCCGGTGGGCAGTGGAGTTAGAGAAGCCTGAACCGCAGAGCTGAACGATGGTCTCGCCATCCCAAGAGCTGTGACTACACAGCAAGGCAGGGCCCCGTGTGGGCAGGTGGCCCCAGCGTCCACAGCAGAATGGGTGTCGCAGAGGAGGAGAGGACCTCCATCTTTATGGTGTTCTTACAAACTGAGGGTCTGGCTCAATTACACGTTTCTGACTTGTGGTGACCATGTCCAATAACAGTTGCTTAACACCATGAAGTTTTAAAAACAAACGCATATAGCACAGAAAAACACAGCTCACATGGAGTATTTCTGATTGGATAGCTTGATGCTGCTAACGATCATCTAGTTCTTTTCTATAAAGCATTTCTGATTGGATAGCTCGCTGTGCCCAACCCAGAACCAGATGCTGCTACCAATCAATGACTGCTTTTCTATATAGCATTTCTGATTGGATAGCTCGCTGTGCCACGCCCTGTCCTATATAGCCCTGATAATTTCTGATCATTTAATTTTCTTTTCTTAAGCGGCAGATTTTATTCAGAATGAATTTGGCTCCCTACACTGAGAGAGCTGTCCATGTGTGTTTGCAGCAAAACCCAAATAGCAAATGACTCGGCTTGAGTCTCCCGCTCCCGGTTTTTTAGCAGAATGGAAGGGAAGATGGCGCCGAGCTCCCCGTCGCTCCCCGTCGCTCCCGCTACGCGACAAAGGACGCATCTTGGTGTGTGTGCGGAGTGCCGGGCACGGGCGCCTGTTTGATATTCAGATGGGCCTGCCTACACACAGCATTATGCCACATTTGGATGATCGCATTGTGGGATTAAGAGGCTGGCTTGTCATTTTCAACAACAATACAGCGATTTAGGGATGCCGTTTTTCACGCCGTGCCTCGCATTAGCGCAGGGCCCAAGATTTACATAAATCTTTGTCTTAAGATGAAAGAACGTTTTCAGACAATGAAGTTAAGCTTTAGAAATGGGGTGGGGGGGGGCATAAAAGTTTTATTCTAAATCACCCACTGCACCACTGGTACAAAGATACTTCACGGGCCTCTTTTTCGGTCCCTGTCATGAAAAATGAAGGAGAAGCACAGGCATGGGTTGGGGGGGGGGATATGTGGAAGGCAACTCCACAGCTGATTTAGTGCTACATTCTGACTCGTCGCTAAGCTCCTCAATCATGTTGCCCGCAGCAGCCAACGTGAAAACTGACCTAGATTCCCGAGCAAGTCCGTCCCGCACCGTCGCCTATCGCCTGAGATCAACGCAGGGGATGGATCCGGAAGAGGTGCTGTGTTCCACTGGCTGGCGCGTGCTTGAGGGGCGGGGGCCCTCAGCCGCTCGTCATACACTGGCTGGCGCGTGCTTGAGGGGCGGGGCCCTCAGCCGCTCGTCATACACTGGCTGGCGTTCCTCAGCCACAATAATGCCATTAACTGCGGAGGAGATTTAACTCCACATACATTTCAACTTTTATTTTTCAAATGATCTGCTTTATTTTTATTTTCTATCCAATTTAAGTACAGAAAGAACAGTCATCTCCTTAGAGATTTCATACTTATTAAGGAGAACATTCTACCTAATTGTATTTTCAATGCAATTTCCATATTTAGATAGTTTTCTAATGCTAATCTTCGTTCAAGGGGACTGGTACGTGTCGTGACGTTAACACTATAAATGTCTGTACTGGTGACAAATTGGGTCGGGTTAAGATCCTTCACACAATTAATCTCAAATAATGGTGAATATTTCCATGCCCTGAAGAACATCCATCATGCAAGGTGTGCAAAGGGGCCCAAAACACATTTATGTTCTCGCTCCCTAAATTGTCTTGCGTTCATTACACACACTGTCCCGGTCAGCCTCCCCTGGGTTGGCTTGTTTGGTCATTACATTTCAAGTAAGAAGTTGCTTATTTACTGCCTTTCCTCCACTGTGACGGGCCTGTAGGCCTCCCCGCGGCCCCCCCCCCAGCCCCCGCCTCCCCGCGGCCCCTGTCTCCAGCAATAAAGGAGACAAACGGCAGCGGCCAGCGTCCCACCTTGAAGTGCCGCAAAGGTTATTTACATCTGTGAAAGTTATAATAAGCCTGCATGGGATGGCTGCGGACTGGGGGCCCCCGAGAGCCAGCATCAGATAGCAGAGGGGCCCGGCCCGGCCCGGCCCTGCCCTGCTCCCCTCTTCTCCTCCACGCCGCCCACCAGTGTTTTTGTGCATTCTGCTGCACTCCACTCCTGGGGCCAGGATCCTCAGGAACATGACATTGTAATTTCAGCCATGTTTTATTTATGGACCCTACTGAGTCAGATAACGGCTGTTTTAACAAACAAAGATGATTGCTTCAGGGGTTACTCGCTCGTCCTGAGGTAATTAAGACAAAGTAGCTCCCAGGACTGGGCTTTATGCAACCAGCCAGCTATTATTTCCTGAAAAGGGAAAGAAAGGAAGGTTTGGAGACCAGTAAAAAAGGACAGCCTGATTCAAAAGGTCCTTTGTCATATTTTATCTTTGCTTTCGCGCAGTTATTCAGCTGCGTGTCAGCAAAGCACCTATTCAGCACAAAGTGCAGGGGATAGTACTGCCCATGGCGTGTGTGTACACGTGCATGTATGCGTGTGCTTGCGTGTGCGTGCGTGCGTGAGGGGCAGTAGCCTTCGTGCCGGACCTGGTTTGGTTTAATACGGCTGCTTAATTGCTGATATGAATTCAGCATGAAACAACAAGGCTGCTTTAGAAATCAGAGTCCTTGGATAAATTCTACTGGGACCGAGGGCTTGAGGGACCCGGCAGATAGGTGGGCTGGACGCTCCTCTCTGCGGACGCATCTCTTTGTAACCCGAGTAGACAGTATGAAATCTGGGTTGTATAAGGATATACCAAGTGCCAGCTGGCCGGATCGCGGTGCTAAAAGACCTAGAGACACACAAACAGTGAAACAGACAAATTCTCACACACACCAGCATTAAACAAGAACCAATCCCAGCACGCCACACAAATCCAAGTAGAGGGCCACGGAGCTCCAGCCCGTGCTCCTAGGGCATCCACCCTCGGCGTCTCTTACTGCACACACTCACGGATGCACAGTGAGCAGCAGATGGCCCTGATACGCACACAAGACATGATTTTCTGTTAATTTCCCTGCTCTTAATCCAGTCAGGCCAATCTACTCAGCTCAGATTCCACGATGAATGTCAGTCACATTTCTTTTTCATTGCGTTTCATCATTCTTCCTCTCATGCGGACACACGCACAGTTGCGATAACCACTTTCTCGCCGTTTCACACACACACACACTTCCTCCCGCAGACATCAGAGTGACAGATAGACAGCGCCTCCCTCTTTTGACTGCTCTCTTTGCTAACTTTAGACCCAACGTCTACAAAAGTTGTCGACCGGAGACAGGTGGGGTTGCAAAGTTGGTGCCCCCTGAGAAGATGCAGCCCTGGCCAATTGCCTACGTTGCCCCTGCCTGGATCTGCCACTGGTCATACCCCATGTCCGTAGACTGGATTCCATTGTGCCACCATCATGGCCCAGTTTGTGACCATCAGGACACCTATAGCTCCCTCCTTCTGCATGCATGCTGTCTTGAATTATTCTGTATATTTGTATCACCTCACCAGGAGTAAAGCCCAGTCTCAACAGCTGCAAAGTCAGTGTTTACAGGAACGCACTCAATAGACACGTAGCACTGGTGAAATTCACCATTTCACCCTTCAGAAAAACCAAATTTACAAGCGGTTCAGACAAGCTAACGAGTATCAAGATCGTCGAAAGCAATGAGGAGGCCACACCTACCCAAGGACGGATACAGCTGAGCAAAATCATGGCCCATATGCCCATATGTCTCTTTCCCATCGCCAAGGTCCTAAGACGATAAACATGGTTTAATTAGACTCTAATTTACAGTGTAATGAGCCAGTATCCAGGAGGGTTACACCAGGAAAGCTTCTCTCTTTGTGTGGGGAGTAGACCATGTTAGCTGGTAATGACTATACCGCCTCGCTAGACTTGGGGCCTGCAAATCACAGTAGCTTGACGTCCGGCATTTAAAATTTTTCATAGTAAAGGATAATGTAAAATACCTAACATGACTGTCTCTGGGAGGTAATAAAATGACAGCAGACCCTGCCTGAGACATGCAGTAAGGTTATGGTTTAGATCAGGAATACGGCCACTCAAGTGCTCTTGAAACAAACTGTCTAGTAATAACAAAAATCATGGACTGAAGTGACAGGGAACTTTCTCATTCCTCCTGGGACCTCAAAGCACACTTTTCTGTGTCACCCTCCTGTACTGCACACGTGGGCTCTAGGCGATGAGGTAATCAACATGCTAAAAATGATGAGATGGCTTTAGGAATTTGAACAGGGACCTGGGGTCTCTGCCCGTACTGTTTCAGGTTATCAGGGGATCTCAGAACCTACATTTACTCTAGTCTCTGTCTGCAGCATTTCGCTTTACTGCACTGCTCAAGCTAACAGGCGCTTCGCTTTAGATCGGTGTTTCCCAACCCTGTCCTCCGGGACCCACAGTCAGTTCATGTTTTTGCTCCCTTCGACTTCCCTGCTAGACGACGCACATTTTTGCTGGGAGGGAGCAAAAACGTGGATTTTCTGTGGGTCCCCGAGGACCGGATTGGGAAACACTGCCTTAGATGTATGTCTCAGGATGAGCTTTATTAGAATGGCAGGGGTCAGTGGTGTCATGGAGTGAGGAGGAGGCTTCATGTTGCGACTTAGATGGGATGGGGGGGGGGGCAACTGGAGAAAAGCCCCAGAGAAAACACCAGGAATATATTTAAGATGGGGAGCGGAGGCAGGACTGGAGCGGATAGAATGCACTTCTGGGAGAGACTTTACCTATAGTCCCTACCCCCAGTCCCCAAAATATACCACCATGATTCAGTAGCTCACCAGAGTATTTTCTTTATAAATGTAGCTCTCACTGAAAAAAAGGTTGGAGACCACTTATGCAATGAGAGACATAACTTGTGGAAAGTCCTGAGGTATCAGCCGACTGAAAAAGTGTTGAGGTGTCAGTCGACTGGGGATCGGGTTGAAGAAACACTGATGTAAGATAGTGATAAAGCGGAGAAGCCCCCCCTCACAGTGACTCAGCGCTTTCTAACTGTGACGCGGCGTTAAGGCAGGACGGGCTGAGAAGGTCCACCGCTCCGTTTGTGATTGGAGGGAGACGCAGAAGCCCGCAGCGCTGCGAGCTGCTCAGTGTGGCGTTAAGGCGGGCTGGGACAAGCTGCAGCGGCCTGTTCTAACAGAGCACCTCCTTAAGCACCTCCTTCACCTGAGACCCCGCGTCTGGCGCTCACAGCACCCTCCCCCTGCCAGCACACCGCCGATCGTCTTCGACATCCAGCCCCTGAGCTTGGGTCGCCTTCATCACTCTCCTCCTCTTCGCCCCATGAGCAAGCGAGCCCTTTTCCTTTCTTATGTGGCTTGCATACGTTGGCGGGCGGGGGGGGCAACTCTGGCCCCAACTTTCCTTCCCTCAATGCTCAGGGGTCGGCAGGTTAGTCAGCGTGTGGTCGGCAGGACTGCAGCTCCATCTCCTGATCGCTCTGATAAATAACACACTGCACGCACCATCTGACAGACACATATGTATGTATTTTATTCAAAGATAAAAATCTTCTGCTTTCATTGACGGAGCGAATGAATTATGATTACTTTTCTCAGCCATTGCCTGCATATGTGGCTGAGAGATAAGTTGACCTTTTGCAAATCTGAGCCCCAATCAGACTCAACGGTCGCTGTGATATTCCCACGCAGGCAGCTTAAAAGGGGAGCCACTCGCAAGCATGCTGTGGCTCATGCGAACACGGAGCTCCTCCTTGCCTATAACACGACCACATTCCGATGGAACAAGACCGGGCAGAACTGTCATCATTTAACACACACTTTCAGCCCTACAAGCATTGTGGTACTTAACCAACAATTCACAGGGTGTTTTTCACTGGAAAGTGTGCAAGCCTTCTCTTAAGGAGAAACGTGTGCGCATGTGCTGTGAGCGATTACAGTAAGCTGTGACTCCATCATGTGTGCTGAGGGGTTACAGTAAACTGTGACTCAGCCATGTGTGCTGAGGGACTATACTAAACTGTGACTCTGTTGTGTTCTGAGGAGTTACAGTAAACTGTATCATATGCGCTGAGGGGTTACAGTAAACTGTGAGTCCATCATGTATGCTGAGGGGTTAGAGTACATTGTGACTCAGCCATGTGTTCTGAGGAGTTACAGTAAATTGTGACTCGATCACAGGTGCTAGGGGGTTACAGTAAACTGAGACTCCATCGCAGGTGCTAGGGGGTTACAGTAAACTGAGACTCCATCGCAGGTGCTAGGGGGTTACAGTAAACTGAGACTCCATCGCAGTTGCTAGGGGGTTACAGTAAACTGAGACTCCATCGCAGATGCTAGGGGGTTACAGTAAACTCTGTCATGTGTTCTGAGGGGTAACAGCAAACTCAGACTCTGCAGGGGAGGAGCTGGTCCATGCAGAGCCATCAAGCTCTTGGTTTGTGCCTGGCCTTGGAGGGTCAGAGGCTGGTAGGAGGCTTCAGTGAGGCATGTCATTCATCTTCATGGACACACGCAGCTAACATCGCCGGCCCTGTCTATTACGGTCCCCGCATCCCAGCGGCTGCGGCACCTGGTGAGACATCTTCCTGTGATAATTAGAGTGATGAATTGGCTGATGATGGCAGCCTTCAGAGAGAAGCCACCTTTGCAGCCCTGGTAAAACGGGGTGAAAGTGGACATGAGCTCGTCCTGATGAAATGTTTAGCTTTCTTATTTGATATGGGTGATAATGATGTCATAAGACAAAGAGTATGTGAAAATGTAACTTGCCACTAGAATCTTCCCTCATCAAGTGCAGACTAATTTAATTACCACAAGCGTAATACCCAGTGTTTCACTGCAGAGACTGGCAGCGCGACAGTCACAGACCAGTCTACCTTCCTCCCATGAGGTAGCTTTCATGTTTCATCTCAAGAATAAACTCACCACACAGCCACGACTTTTTCACAGCCCAATGGCTGAGCCTCCCCTCGATGTACCATGGTCGTACGTTGTGGTTCCCTGCCATTTTCATTTAGCTTGGTCTTGACGTCGATGCCAGACATGCAGATGGTTCCGAAAAACCTAAAACCACAAAACTCAACTGAAACAAAACCTACTGAAAACAGCCGATAGTACAGTGCTGAACATCATTGGTTATTTAATCCCTCCACGGTAACAAACTGAAAAGTGTGCGACTCCTCAAGGATTAGCATTGTGTGAGCCATTAAATGGGGCGAACAGATAGAGCAAAAGGTCCACATTGCAAGAAGCAGAGCCAATGTCGGACTTGGCGGGAACCCTGACACGCTACATGGTGATGGTTAAGGGCACAAAAGCAGACGAAAGAATCCATCAAAACAGCAGTCAGACATCACGGCATCTAGAACAGCCAATATCTACCTAGGTACCTTTATTGCTGTCTTAACAGATCAAGCAACATGACTGACGACAAAGGCATAATCAGTTACAGCAGTACAGTATCAGTGATATCAGGGTAAATCAGTGTAAATCAGTGTAAATCAGTGTAAATAACCATAACTATTAACAGCCTCGGCAGCACAGACATCAGTGGAGACTGTGAGATGCCCTGCTGGATTGACAGCTCATCCGCATCCTCGCTGTGCGTTAAGGTCCTTTCACAGGTGTTCTGAACTGTCCACACCAGATCAAAGATGCCAGCACCGAGGCTGGTTTGGTTCTTACGGCATGTTGAGCGGACATTTTTCCACGGACCATTATGTCCTGAGATTATTGATCATTTAATTTAACAGCAATAAAGGTTTGCTCTTAAAAAGATAACTTGGAGAGGACTTGGTAATCCAGCAAACCGTCATCACCACGAGAAGCGGATAGCCATCTAAACGGATCCCGTAGATTTAGATTATTGGGAATAAACATGCGTATCTGTGATCATGTCTTTCATGTCATTTTAAAAGCTACTGTACCAGACAATCCCATTGTTCAGTTAACAGTGACTGCTCTGCCGATGCATCTCATATGTCATATAATGCTGAACGCCTTTCTTGGGTGATTTTGAGCTACAGTTAATGGCTTAATTTTGTTTTCATGTGCACAGAGTGAAGTGTTAACTGTCTAATTAGATAGTAATGTGTCTTATCTATTGTACCTTTTTCATTGTTTCACTTGGCTGTGAATCTAATGACAGATCACTGTGGACAGTTTAAGCCAAAATGGAGAGTGTGGTCCCATACCTCATCAAAGGCATTTCTCATTCACACAGACTGTACCCACAAATGATGAGGTATAGTTTAATAAGAGCCCCCATTCACACACACTGTACCTGTAACCCACCGATGATGAGGTATAGTTTAATAAGACCCTTCATTCACTTACACTGTACCTGTAACCCACAGATAATGAGATATAGTTTAATAAGACCCTTCATTCACTTACACTGTACTTGTAAGCCACAGAGTTTAACAAGTGCGGGGACTGTACTCTGCTATTTTAATTTATACATCTGGCATTAGCACAGCAAAGCAACACTGTGTGACTAACTTAAAGTATTAGCTCCAGACATGGTGGAGTTTGGAGCTCAAATGATAAAGGAAACAAACGTACAGGCAGCCAATTGGTGGAACGGTCTGTGACAAAATGGCCAGGTACCCCACTGCAGAACCACATCAGGCTGCCAGCAAAGCCACTTGATCCCTGAGTCCCGCTTTGTCACACTTCCCATGATGCATTGCGCAGTGCGCCTGGTACAGCCAAGAACACGGAAAGCTTAGCAGCTCACAGAGTAATTAAAGCTAAATTATTAATCCTCACAAAGAAACCGTTGGAAACATAAATCACTCTGTTGCCGAACAATTCCATCCATCCATCCATCCATCCATCCATCTTCTAAAACCACTTGTCTCACTCAGGGTGCCAAGCAATTCCAATGCTCTAAAACAGACATATAAATAAATAAGTAAGTAAATAAATAAATAAAGCCCCCACCCCCCAAATACACACACAAAAAACTGATTGATGTCCACGATGGGATAGATCCCTAATGGAGCAAGCCTGACAGTGATTGCTAAAGCCCATTTAACTGCTGATGCTTTGTTATGATTGGACTTGTCATTCTTCCTTTACTGATTAAAAAGAGGGAGGAAACTCAATGTGCTTCACGTCCTTTGTACAGTTTTTTGCCTCAGCCAAAGCGATGGGTGCATATTATTTTGTCAATCCTGGGGAAACGGTGGCATTCAGAGGGACGCACAGACAAGCGCTGCCCTTTTCTCCCTCACAGAAGTGACTTTACTGCCAAGTTGCATCAAAGCCCCTTTTTAAACTGAAGGTCAAAAAAAAAAGAAATGAACATTTGACATACAGCTGTTTGTTTTTGTATTTGCTGCAAGTATATGACATTCCGCAGTGTAAGTCTGGAAACTTAGAAGTCCCACCAGCTCAGGACCTTTCTGATGTTTTATAATGTAGCAACATTAACATTCATTGAAAGAAATACCTTTACTTACAGTAAACAAACTGGGGACCAGTCGAAGTAAAGCATGATGCTGAGGTGGAACCTGCATATCTGCATTATTGGGCACAATGACATGTAGAACAGGAAGAATCACAGTATGACCATCATATCGGGAACTCCATTATCTATGACATATAGGACTGGGAGGAGTCACAGTATGACCATCATACTGGGAACCCTGTTATCTATGGCATAGGAGAATGTTCCTTATAGGTCCTTGTAGGAGAAGGTGGGCCCTGTGTGGATGAGATGGCTGCATATATCGGGGTGTGTCTGGGCACAAAGCACCACAGAGAACAGAAAGGGTAAAGCAAGGGAAAAAAGCAAGATCCAGGGACAAACTTACATGAGCTATTGAGCTGAGGGTATGGCTGAAACAGTTATACCCCTCCAAACACAGATGCGTGCATTCCTGCAGAGGCAGTCCTCTGGGACATCTGATGTGCCTCTGGAGAAGAAACGTCAACAGAGGAAAATTAGCAGAGCTCACATAATAGCAAGAGCAGAATCAATGAACTTTCAGCAGTGCTTTTTATCCTTGGAGGGAGGTACCTTGGGGTAATCCTGAGACATAAACACGCAACTGCCTGGTCTGAGTCCTACAGAAAGACCAATGACAGGAAAGACGCACCTGAAACACCTGAAACACCCCGAGAGAGCCGGCTGAATGGCGAGAGCCGGCTGTTGCACGGGACCAGACACGCAAAGTCCAAGTTCATTATGAAAATTCACACATTGATACTCATAAATATGGGAAACCTGATGCGGAAGGACAGAATTCATGTGAAGAGAGAGCTTGAGCTACATCACCATACAAAAACATTTTAGGCTGGATGCTAATTAGCAGCACGCATCAGCCATTAAAGAGGTCTGCCAATGAGCACTTTGCAATGGTAGTTTTCAAAGCACAGTGAGGTCCCAAGGCGTTCAAAAGAGGTCAAAGAGTTGGGGTCCCACTAGCACCATCGCTGTAAAATCATTTGACACATCAAGGGAAACTCTCAAAAATTATGACAGTATAAGTCAAACAAGTACAAACTGCATCAGCAGTGGTTGCAAATTGAAACTGACTGACAGGGGTAGGTGTACACTTAACTGGACGGGCACGAAACACCACAAAAGTCCAGCTTCAAGAAAAGTCCACAGAACTGAATTGACACCACTGCGCTACAGAGACGCCATCCGGTCATTTTATTTAGCTGATGGTTGCTCTGTGTGGCCAAGGAATATGACATCATTTTACAGCGCCAGGTGCACCCTGTGGAGCAAGTACCGTCCCCTCATGATATTCCTAAATATCATCACCCCGACGCACTGCTAAATAGATTTGAGTGGTTTTAGGAATGCTAGGATGAAGTTACACACCTTCTGTGCCCCCCCCCCCCCCAAATCACCAGATATAAACATTGCTAAAACTTGCACTAAGAAGTTCTGGAGCACAGAGTATGAAGCTTTTTGGAAAAACGCTCCGATATGTCATATGACACATCCCAAGGCTGGGATATATTATGATGCCCAACCGCACACATTTTTGCTTAGACCTCTTCTGTTTATTGCAATGCTTCTTACTGATATAACGAGCTTGGCATTAATGAAAAGACACCTTTTTAAAACCTGTATACCAAACGCTGAAATAAAGCACTACAGATCTCTCTCTACGCTTTCAGGAGGGATGAAATTCCCCATCCTCTTTTTAATTAAAAGAATCCCTGCAAGAGGTGAGCACAGGGTGTGCCGTGTGATTCCTACGCTGCCTTGTATTAAGTTTCTAAATGAATAAATGAATATGTGCAGAACTGAGGTGAGCAAATCCTCCTTTGTCATTAAGACGACTCCATCAGCCCCTCTTTGCTTTCAGCCTCTCGCCCTGCCCCACACCCACCACCCCGAGGTCCAGAAAGTGCATACCGTATTGCTTTGGCTGTCTGTCCATCTCAGCTGTCCAATTCACACAGGGAAAGGAGGGGAAAAATGCTTTCACCTTTTATCATCAGGTCAAGGGAGACGTGATTTTCAAGCACGTTTCCTAATGGCTCCATACCCTTTGTTTCCGAGTGACAGGTTAATGCTTAATGGATCGGCCTTTAACTAGGAGTTGTACAAGAGAAGGCTGGCTTCCACTATTGTACCGGGGGTAAGATGACTGGAGCTGAATAGGTAGCACAGGCAACAAAAGCCATTTTTCTTTAGTCATTAATTTCAGCAGGATGGTGGAGTTTAGGCACGGGGAACAGAACGTGCTCTATTCAAATCTAACATTACATTCAATTGGACAAAGTGCCTCATGTCAGATGAACAGGGTAAATACATACCCATGAGAACATTAAATAATATATCAATTGAGGGACAAGGGAATACTCATTTTATATCATCTCCTTTTAGGTACTAACACATATCATTATGACGTGTAGGGGGCGAAACAGGGCTGATGAAAATTTATGGCTGAGTGGCCAGTTCCAGTCGTACTGGGTGTATATTTTCATTAGCAGATGCGGATTCAGAAAAGCTTCATAATGCTTTCAAACGAATGCTGAAGTTGAGCAAAAAACAGCCATCATTGGTCAGGGAGTTATAGAGGAGATGGCCAGCATGGCGGCATGAACAGTGATGTCTTAATGGTCAGGGAAGCGCACTTATAATTGAAAAATTGCTGGTTTGAATCCCCAACCGGCAAGGCACCACTGAGGTACCTTGTGCAAGGTACTGCCCCCAAGCACTGCTCCCCGGGCACTGAATTAGCTGCCCCCTGCTATGTCACGATGTCACATTTGGGTTAAATGCAGAGGACACATTTCATTTTTGTGCACTGTGTGCTGTGGTGTGTCGACAATGACCACTGATCACTAAATTGTAACTCTAAGAGAAGGGAGTATGGAGGAGGAGCAAGAGGAGATGGACAGTATGAAGAGAAGGGAGTATGGAGGAGGAGCAAGAGGAGATGGACAGAGGGAGTATGGTGGAGGAGGAAGATGGGATGGGCAGCATGGACAGACGGAGTACAGAGGTATAAGATAAAAGGACACTAAGGACAAGGGGGCATGAAGTACTCCACAGCTTTGGCCACCCGCACTGGTTCCATCTTACCCTGTTTAGCACTCTGTGCAGAGCAGATTCTCCTTCCTGTTTAATTGAGTCATTTATTCTGTTTAAAAGTGACATCCTTAAACGAGAAGGAGATGGGGGCTGGGCTGTGGGTTAGTGTCAGGGGCCTGAGGAATGGGGGGCTGACAGGACCTGCTCTTTAAGAGCCAAGGTGAGAATGAGGTCCAGCTAATTATACATCAAACGCAGAGCCACTTTGCCTGAACGATTCCAGCGCAGCGAGCTGACAGAGGGAAGTAAAAAGAGAGAGAAGCCACTTTGGCCATGAGGCATAATCCCCAGTGTGTGTTCAGCCTTCCTTTCCATGTGAGATTATGCCGCCTCAAGTGAGGCATTCTGTAAGCTTCCATACAGAGCAGCCAGTCTGCTGCAGTTTCTGCTTCAACAATTTACCTTTTGTTATTTATCTAAGATGCAAAATTATTCAAATCCCATTGCTGCTGTCTTTGTATCTTCTGCCACGGCTTGAACGAGAGGGTGAGGTGCAAGACGGGAACTAATTGACACGACACAGCGCCCCCCAGTGCTTTGCCAAGCTAGTGCGCCACACTTCAAAGAACCTGGAGCTGAGTTAGTTCAGCCACCACATTTACATGGTAAAATAGAAGAACAAAGGCACAGATGGTTCCATAGCAGAATTCATACTTTTGACAAAAACTATTTAACCAACGCCTGTAATGATCATGTGTTAGGTGACAGCATCCTTTGATGCTCTGATAGAACATTCCCCATGGTGGAGGGCAACACGGGCAACATGGAAGCAAACTCAAAGGACCTCACACCTGAGCCCCAGTCGCTGGCTCTCACCTCTCTGCTGCTGAGCCAGGTACCACAACTACACAAATGAGACGAAGTAAGGACGAAGGATGAAGTAAGGACCAGCAGAGGGAGGCTCGTCCAGACCGACCTACAACATCACACAACATTCACAATTTACACCAGCGTTTCCCAATCCGGTCCTCGGGGACCCACAGACAGTGCACGTTTTCACTATCGGGAGCAAAAACATGTGGACTGTGGATCCCTGTGGACTGGATTGGGAAACACTGACTTACATGAATTGCATGTAATATATGAACAGTGGAGCTTCAGGGGAAATGCAGTTTTGTTGTAGCGAGACACTGCAACTGTTTCTTTTCCCCGAACGACTGAAAGTGCCCGCCTGGCCATCGTAGGGCCGCTACGGCCGTGACGTGAGCATGGGGCGTGAGGCGGCCTCAGCGCCCGCCGTGGCCCCCGACAGAGCACGCTCAGACACGGGAGCTGGGAGGGGCAAGTCTGCCAAAGGCTGTATGCTGGGGGGCTTTGGGGGGGTCTGAGCAGATCATGTCAGCGTACATCCCGAGCCACCCAGGACGTCAGCCACACTGTCACCGCGGGCTTCATGCTCGCTTAAGCAATAAGTCGGAAGAAGGTGGGAGTTCATCAGCCATTTTGTCCCCAAGGGCTCCTGGCAGGAGAGAGTTTTTATGGCTGAGAGATTAGTGAGAGACTCTGTAGCCCCTCCCTCCTCCAGAAACACGGAGCAGATTAAAGTTAGGAAATATGCAACGTGTGAAGTCACAGCTGAAATATGGCATTTATGCAGTTCATTACTGTAGGAAATAGTTGGTACTCGAGCAAATATAAATAACATCTGACATTAAAATATACTGCTGAATTCTGACATCATGGAAATGTGACACACGGCACTTATTGGACTCATCCAGTGACAGAGGATGCCTGGATCACGCAACCAGGACCATTTGGAAAATACACGCCACTGCACCTCCTACAGACATTTCTTCCGTGTTATTTTTAATAACAATAACACTTTATTGATCCCTGTGGGAAAAGGCTCATTGCACCTACCCTATGTTGCTTTCCAAGACGCATATGTAACAGAGAACAAGCTCAGTGAAAGTGAGGGTCAAGAATCTTGTTAAAGGTCTCTTTGACGTGTGACTATTTTAGCTGAAGGTGGGCTCGAACCAGCAACCTTCCGTTCACAGCAATATAGGCTTATCCAAGCGAGTCACCAGCTGTCCCCTTTCAATCCTTTTCAGGGTTGGGAAGGGTTACTGCATACATCTCACTGGAGCCACAGGGTTGAGGATCTGGTGCAGTGCATGCGGTCCTGCCATGTTACTGACTTAAGACTGAGATAAATCATTTCTAGCATGTAACATCCCAAAGTCATATTTTTTCACTGCATGATGAATATTTCACTGCACAATATCTGGGCCAATTAGCTGTTTCCTGGGTGCCCCCTGCAGCAGCAGCCCCGGCCTGACTAAGGTCTTTATTCACATCTCAAAGACACCATTCCTGGTGCTGCTTATTAAAACAGACATTTTACAGATTGTCTGCATGTTAAAGATATTTACCTACTGGAGCTCAGTGAAGGAAAAGAAAAAGCACCCAAAATCTCGGGGAATGAACGCGTCTCGGCAGGGCTTCCTGCCCACTGGAGTGCCCTCCCCCATGCCCAAATACATGTAGGTCATGTAATTCAACATGACCTTTAGAAATGTGCCCCGCACCACTTCCAGGTGCTTCCAGGGCCGGGACCAGGTAAGTGGGAGCCACACAACATGAGCCATTACTGAAACATGGATGAATGTACTGTGCTGGGCTACAGCAGGGGGCATTACAGACACTGTGTGGTCTGTCAGGCACAGGCAGGAGCAGATCAGCCAGGACACACAGTATGTTTAATATATGCACAATTACAGAGGCTGCAGCAGTTCTGATATATAAACACAAATGAATGCAAAAAAAAACTGCTGCTGAGGCGGATAACACAAATATTAACAGATTAAAAAAAAAAATTTAAGTGTAAAATCAGGCACAAGTTGTTTATTCCTGCAGGGACAGCCGTTGTGGGAACAACCCTGGATCCTGTTATTAAAAACAATTATTAAATAGTAACATAAATATAGGGAATTTCTTGTGGAGGTTCCTTGCATTTAATTGATGAGGATTTCCATTAATTTGCCCGGTTTATGTTTTTATAATTTATTATCACCCAATGCATTTAAATAAATTTCAGTAAGAATCTTTGTAGAAATGTGATGTAGCAGTATGTGTCAAGTATGCATGCACATGCACAGTGACATTCCAGAAAACAGATAAGGTGGGTGCAGCCTCAGCTACACCACTTGACCTTACACGGTGAAGCACCAAAAAGAGAGAGAATGTGGGTGGGGCCTCAGCTACACCACTTGACCTTACACGGTGAAGCACCAAAAAGAGAGAGGTATCTCAGTTACAACACATGTACATGAAAAGAGATACATTGGAACAAAAAGAAGGTGAGCTGTACCTCAACTATACCACATATAAATGCACAATAAACACACACGAACAGAGAGAAGGTGGGCTGGGCCTCAACTATACCACATATAAATGCACAATAAACACACACGAACAGAGAGGAGGTGGGCTGGGCCTCAACTATACGAAATGTAAATGCACGATAAAAACACGCAAACAGAGAGGAGGAGGTCCGGGCCTCAGCTACACCACTCGTACATACACAGTGACACGCCACAGAGAGAAGGCAGAAGGTGGGCTGAGCTTCAGCTACACCACTCGTACATACACAGTGACACGCCACAGAGAGAAGGGAGAAGGTGGGCTGAGCTTCAGCTACACCANTACATACACAGTGACACGCCACAGAGAGAAGGGAGAAGGTGGGCTGAGCTTCAGCTACACCACTCGTACATACACAGTGACACGCCACAAAAGAGAGCAGGTGGCCGGGGCCTGAGTGACATTACATGTAAATGCACAGAGATACTTTGGAAGAGAGGAAAGGTGAGCAGGGCCTCAGCTTTCACAGGGTGGCACCACAGCTTTCAGCCGGAAGTAAAGACAGCATCTGATTTAACCCTCTTCCTGCCACTGTCATTAGAAATCACACAATGTGACTTTAGTAGCAGCATGAACAAGACCTGGATACGTCTGCTGTACACCAACTTCAAGCTGGAGCAGATAACTCCTGTATCCCTCTAATCTAGTGATATAGAGATATGCATCCACATATCAACAAATTTAACTGTATTTTAAACGGTATATATATACTTGGAATATATCCAAAATACAGTGCTTTGCTTTTAAACCATATGGTTAAAGATGGCATCACCAAACCAACAGTTGTCATTCCTTCAAAGTATGTTGAACTACAAGGCGAAGGACAGTCTTCTATTTTGAACGGCATGGATGTCTGTGAGATGATTGGTATCGGTTTACCTGTGATTGGTGATGATTGGTATCGGTTTACCTGTGATTGGTGATGATTGGTATCGGTTTACCTGTGATTGGTGATGATTGGTATCGGTTTACCACATCTGTGCTTCCAGACTCCACACCATGCCTCATGGCTGTTTTCTTCCTGTTGTGAAAGAAGCTCAACATCACAGATCCAGATTCTGCAATCAAGGCCTTACTTCTCCGTCTCCTCCAAACGGCGCCTCTGCTCCGTAGTCGCTCACTTTACCATGCTCTTAACATACTTAGCATTCCTTTTATCACAATTTACTCACATTCTTATTGCTTTTCATAAAGACTAGCATATCTTCCAGGTTTTTTCCA